GGTTCTGGGATTGACAGATGTCAACTTGTGTCCCTAGCTCTGACTGCTCCACCTGCTCATCTCAGAGCTGATGGCAAATTTCATGGTTATAGTACTCATTCTTATCTCTAGGCTCAAGGGTCTCACCTTAGCTCAGGCACTCAGAAAGGGGGTCTTGTTAAAATCTCACTAGAAAAAGCAGTTCTCTGTTTCTTAGTTTGTCCCTTTCAATATTTATCATTGCTTCGGAAGTTCCTCTTGTAGTCTCACCTTAGGCAACCTTGGTAATTTTATCAGATAATATCCAGAGAGAGATGACATATTAAAAAAAATAAAAGAACTAACAAACAGGAATGTTTAGTGCTGAGCCTGATTTAACCAGCTTTCAACAATTAGTGGTCATGAGTGAAGGAAAAACCAATAGATGAACTATGGCTTCTCTCGTGTCAGTCTTTTTCTGCTCTCCTGGACCACACACAAGGTGTTCTCTGCATCCCATGGTCCTGGACCACTGGGATCTCTCTCACTTACCTTATTGATAAAGGATGCAAAGCGGTTATTGAGGCACTTGATCTGCTCCTTCTCATCCCTCTTTACCCTCTGCACAGTCGGGTCGATCTCTAGCTCAAGTGGAACCAGTAGGCTCTCATTGATGGTGACAGGGGTGATACATGCAGAAGCCCCACAGGTGGCCCCCACTCGGTATCCGAAGCCAGGCAGGCCACACCTAGAGGCAACCCGGGGCCTCCCGAAGCCCACATTGCACAGGCTCCGTGAACCGAGGCAGCCCAGGATGCGGAGGCCCCCCGCACTCCCGGGCTGGCGTGGCCCCTTGCTCACTGCATAGTGGGTCACCATCCGGGGCAGAACAGCCGAGCAGGAGCTGAAGCTCCGACTGCCACATCGGGAGCCCTGATGGAGGGAGCGGTAGGACATGGCAGGAGAGAAAGGCAGAGAGACAGGCCCTGACGGGGAGAACAAGAGGCGAGAGCTATCGAGTCAGCTCAGCTCCCACCCTTTTATCTGGTAGAGGGTTGGAGGGCTGAGCTGGGTCAAACTCCCAGTCACCATAAAATCAGGTTTATGAGCTTGGAAGATTGGCAGCTCTAAGTACCCAGGTGGATAATTAGGGTAGCAAAGAGCAGAGAGAAGGAGCCGATGGACAGTGCGGGTGGGCCCTATAAAAGTCCTATATGTCCTCCTTCCTTGTTTATGGGAAAGATGAAAGGGGCCAACCAGACAGATATGTTTGGCATATTCAGTGGCTTAGCCTCAAGGAAAGGGAGAGTTGGGACTTTATGCCATTTTATAAGAGAGAGGGCATGAATTATATTCCCTGGCTGCCCTGGGATTAGAGGCCAAGTGAGATATGCTTGAGGATGCTCAATTTCCTCAAGGCTGTTTTTATGTGTTTCTGCAGATGCTCCAGGTCCAAGTGCCCTCCACGAGCTCCGAGGTGATCCTAGGATCTCCCAGGGATGAAGGCTTTTGGGTGAGAGAAGCTTTCCTAAGCATGCTGGGCCGTGCCCGTTCTCAAGACAGGGAGGGTCCCGGCTCTGGCTTAGCTAACCCCTACCCCCACTAGAGTTCTTGAGGTAGTAGGCTCTATATATAGTGTCTTACCTGCAGGACACTTTTAGTCCAGAAAGGCCTCAGGGAACTTAAGAGGAGATGCCTTGTGCTCGAGGAGAAGAGAAGAAGGGGTACTTTCCCCAAGACTCTTTGCTCCCCAAAACAGGCATTGATGTCAGCTCTTAGGTCAGGGTTCCATGTTGCTATTCCTTGTTCTTCCTTTCCACCGCATCCTGAGCCTCAGGTAGACAGACTCTTTTATGGCCTGAGGACATTTCTGGGGACAATTGCTATCCTCAGGAATTGTTTAGGTGGATGAGGGTAACAGGCCTTCTCCCCCAGCATGCATGTTACAGCTCTTTGGAGATGCTCCCTGTACCCGCCCCCACCCAGTTCTGTTCCCTCCTCCTTTCCATCAGGCTCATCAGTGAAACTGCTGCTGTGGCTGACAGGTCTTTCCCTTCCTTACTGTGACTTTTTCCCAGGTCAGACTTAACTCAATAATAATAATAGTAATAATATTGATTGGGTGCTTTCTATGTGCTGGGACCATCCCGAGCTCTACATTCATTATCACATTTAATTCTTACGATGACAACCATGATTAGTTTCTCATTATAGACAAGGAAAACAAGGAGCAGAGTGGTTAAGTAAGTCCCCCAAGCTACCCAGCTTGTCCATGACAAGGCTGGGATTCAATCTCATTCTTTCTGAGGTCACCATGCTCTGCTGCTCCAGTGGAGAGAAGCCTACATTAGGAATTAAGGGTTTGCTGCCAACATATGTTATGTCTTCTTCGTTCCTTGGCTTCTCCACCTGTAGATTAGGAGACTAGAACTCAAACTTTTTTTAGTGCTTGGAAATTCTCAGTCTAACTGTGACATTTCACAAAGTCTCCTCTTGCACAGTCTTGACTTTGGGTCCTAGCATACTGAGGAGGGAAGATTGAGGCTGGGGGAGATGTGAGGTATAATAAGAGACCATGGGTGATGGTGGGGTGAAGTGGGGTCCTGTTGCATGATGCAGGGGAAGGAGATTTTCACTGTGTCCTGGAGGAAGCATCACAGAGCTGGGCCCAGGAGATGCTGTTAATGGTGAGGGTGATGCCAAGAAGTCAAACCAGAGAGTGGACCTGTTCAGACTCCTGCCAGAGAGAGTTAATGAGATAGTGGGCAGACCTGGAGGGCAGGGCTCACTGGGGAGATATAGACATGGGAGAGCATCCCTGCCACATCCAGGCCAGAGCATGATCTTAATGGCTATGTTGGGCTCCCTGGAGCCCAAGACTAGAGCCCGGGAGTGGAGAGTGTGATGGTTCATTAGATTCATTGTGGATGGATGGCACCTTCTCCCAGAAAACACCGGTTCCAAGGTGCGAGACAGGACACAGACTCAGTCAAGACCTAGAGAGCTCGGTGACATTTTATTGAAGCTATTTCAGGAAATAGGCAGGTGCAGGGAGCAGGCACTTGGGAAGGGTTTGAAATGATCAGAGCGGGAGTGACTTTTTTTCCAAAGTAGTGAGCTCTCCTGTCTCCATGTCAGCAGCACGGCAGCCAGTCTCTATTTGCCTTCGAAATGCATTTTGGTCTTGAATACATGGCAGGTGTTTTGAGAGTTTACAACTCTTCTAATTAAATAGGAAAACTACCCCATGAAGGCCAGCCTCGAAAAGATCTCTGTGCCTACGCCAGTCCCCTATTCCACCGCCACCCTACCTCTGCTTCCTTCAAGAGACTGAGCGATGTGTCCCCTCAGAGTGAGGAAAAATCACCAAGGGAAGAACTGCCTCTCTTCCAAGTCTGCTTTCTCAGGCCTTCCCTATAGGGCAGGGCATTTGGTGGGCCACCTTCAAGAATTTCAGTTCTGGCCAGGGCTGGGGGTAGGCAAATCTGCACTGTAGATGTTTCAGAGACAGGAAGGTAGAAAAAGAAAGGTCGAGAGGTGACACAGACGGAGTCTGTGCCCACTCTCTACGACCCTGAGAGAGTGGGAAATACATCACCAAATAGAAGAATGGGAGAGGAAGAAAGGAGAGAAAGAGAGGAGAGGAGGGGGATCGAGAGAGGAAACACCCAGGGTAGTGGAGGATGAGTAGAAAAAGGAGTGAGGGTGAAAGAGAGGGTGGGAAGGGCGGGGGAAAAGAGAAGAAAACTTTCCAGAAGAGAGACATAGCCAGCACAGAGGAAAGAGAAGAAGCCCTGAGCCTGGAGGGTTATTTTGCAGGACTCTCCTGGGGCAGTTCTAACACAGGCTCATTTGGTTCCTTCTCCTGGTGTGTCTGTTGCAGGCATCTGAAGCAGGGCTGCCTTTCCCATATCTTCATAGGAGCCTACCTCCTCCCTCTCATCATCAGGACATTTCTGTTTGGGCTGGCAATTCTAATATTGGCTTAATCGAGGCAGATTTGGAAGGAATTTGGCTATGAAGTATCATCGAATGCAGCCCCAGGCCATGGAGAACTTTTGGATTCTTGATAAAATTTTTCCATTCTCCTACAAATAACCAAGAGTTGGTAATATTTTGAAGGGTATTGATTTCTCAATTAAATACTCTGCTGGTGGGAGTTGTCAGGGGAAGTGGCTGGGGGCCTGGGCAGGGATGAGAAAGGAGGAGGTGAGGAGGCAATAAGTGGGAAGGGTTTGTGACATTGCTTGGTCTGAGCGGCCTGCGGGGAAAGTGTTCTGTCTGTGATGAGAAAGCACACGTGGAGACTCTGGCCTAGACTGCACTCAACTTCGTTGGGGGCACCAAGGTCAATTCTAAGGACCCCATGAAGGGCTGTGGTTACAGTAGATCTGGGTTGGACAGGAGAAGGGAGACCCAGCTGCACCCCTGCTCTCGAAACTACTAAAGGGCAAAGTCCTAGCCCAGGTCTTGGCTCAGAGCAGTTGAATCAGTGTTAGTTGGAATGGATGCCTGTGGCCCCTGGAGGACTCTGGGATGAGAAGCTAGTGGGGTGCCTCCATGGGGAACCATCTGGAGGCCGAGAAATGGACAAGGTGACCTTAGAACTCACAGGCCACTTTCTCGCTCCCTGTGCCTCCTGCTGCTAGGATTGATTTTGTGCAAGGAGTGTCAGCAAAGCAGCAAACCTTTGGGCTGGGAATTGGGGGCTTTAGTGGGGAGGCAGCTGAGAGGGTGGGACCCTTTAGCTCCTGTAACTCTTCTTGGTGGACGACGTCTTGGAGATGATGCGCATGCTGGAGCTGCTGCCACCCATGTTGCGGCCGCTGGTGGAACTGAAGCCGCCGCCGCCCCCATAGCTGTAGCTGCTCCCGCCCATAGAGAGGCCGCCGCCCCCGCTGTAGCCTGTGCCCCCGGAAGAGGAGACCACGGCTGTGGAGAGAAAGCACAGGGCACACTGGCAGGCTCCTCCAGTTTCCCAAGACCCACCCTCCCTGGGTCTGGTGCTCCTGTGGTTCCCTTCCATGGTGCTTTCTCAAGGAACAGGAATCCCCTCAGTTCCCTGGGAGCCGAGGTCAGAGAGAGCGGGCACAGATTCTGTCCCCATCACACACTGCCTCGAAGGGAGCAGTTGCAGAAGACATCATGCTTTTCAAAGCCCCTTCACAGCTATGAGGACACTGTTCGCAATGGGCCTGAGAGGATGCCATTACTACAAGCAGCCCCATTTTACAGAGGAAAAATTGGAGGCACAAAGAGATCAAGTGGCATGTCCAAGGTCACTCCTGCCAGAAACCAAGGCATTAGGCTCCCATGCTGTGTTCATTTCTCATCTATACCAGGGCATCTGGCTGAATGAAATGCGAGGCCCCATCTGCTGTGATGGAGTCAGACTTCCATGCCGGAAGAGGCCGGAAGGCCACCCAGACGAACCTCCCCTGGGGTTGGAATCCCCTCTACTGTGTCACTGAGAGGCAGTCATTTGGCTTCTGTTCAAATACTTTCTGCAATGGGGGGCTAACTATCTCAGGACACAGCTCACCACAGTCTTTCAAACATTTGAAGAGGCCTGTTAGGCTTCCCTTCTCAGAATCTGCTTTCCAGGTGAAACACTCTGGTTCTGTGCATGAACTGGTTTCATGTTCTCCCTCATCCTGGTTTTCAGCCTCCCAAATATAGTCTGACCCACATGGAGTCCAAGGGGACTCAGCTTCCCGTGCCCAGGACTCAGGGCTCTATGCGTGCCACCTGTTGGGTCACTCTGTGGGATGATTCCTCCCCATCTCCTACCCATGAGCTGAGGCCAAGCCAGGTCGGTCACTGCTCTGCTTGTTCAATTGATTTGCTTCAATTCTAAATATATGTCTTTACCTGTAACCTGTTTAGTTACCTCTTGTTAGTCGTGTGAGTTTGAATTCCTGCCAGAACTAGCTGAGAAATTAGGAATTCAGATGGGAGACCCATTGCTCTGCGAGTACTCCTGTCTTATAACTGGGTTCTCCTGGGGCCCGGGTGGAGTCCTTCCTGTGGACTTATGACCCCAGCCCTGGGAATGAGGAGTCACCACAAATCTCTCTTGACTGCACCGGGAAGAAGGGCCGAAGAAGAGCAGGGACTCTGCAGAGCCTGTAAGAGGGCCTTAATGACATCCCTGCCCCAGCCTTTTCACTTTCTGGCCATCAAATCCTTGTTAGTGACGTTATTAGCTTCCACTTTGTCTCCCACTTTTCTATCATCCCAAGACATTTACTCACAGATGTTCACGGGTCCGACACCTTCTCCAGTGAGTCTGTTGCAGGTGGAAAGAGAAAGGGACGTTTCATTTGCTGAGACTTTAAAGAGCCCTGCATTCTTTGTATTCAAAGTTACCAGCACAGCACACCTACTGTGTGCCGGGCACTGTGCTTAACAAAACTTTCATTCATCTCATTAGCTAAGGAAGCTACTATGACTATATGAGGGGACATCTGGAAGAGATAGTCAGTCAAAATATGTAGGGAAGTGGAGAAAGGGACCTGTGCTCACTAGATAGAGAGGAATAGTTAGATTGTAGGCATCTCTGGGCAAACACAGAGGCCCTGAGGCTTGTCCCAAGTGTGACCTCATTTGTTAGAGGGACTGGGCAGAAATGGCCCTGCTTATGACCTTCCAGGTAGTGATGGGCCATCCATTTCTCTCTGATACCTTTCACCTAGGCCCCTGCCCTGGGTCCAACAGGAGCTGTAGGAGGAGATGTGACTGCAGAAGACCTCTAGGAAGCAGCTTCATTTTAACACCTTTTCTGCCCTTGGAATTTCTATATAGGGCCTGACCCTGCGGGGCTGTTGGCCTCTGTGGCATCACCATAATGCTCTGGTGGAGTCTGAGCCATGGTGGGAGGAGGTAACCCACCTGCACTCCTCGCCCTCCAGCAGCTTCCGGTAGGTGGCGATCTCAATGTCCAGGGCCAGCTTGACGTTCATGAGCTCCTGGTACTCACGCAGCTGCCGTGCCATGTCCTGCTTGGCCTTCTGCAGGGCGTCCTCCAGCTCAGCCAGCTTGTGCTTAGCGTCCTTGAGGGCCATCTCCCCGCGCTGCTCGGCATCAGCGATGGCGGCCTGGAGTGCGGCACACTGCCAGGAGGACATGGAAGTTTGTGAAATCGTCCACAGAGAATGCAGAAAGATGCGGGGTTTAGGTTAAAAATATGGAGGAATTTCCGGAAATGGATCTCATGCAAAGAAGGCTGGAGCTTCATCGTGTTTAAAAATAAGATTAGTCTCTGTCCCCGCTGGATTATTTGAGACTTAGCCGGGATAGAGAAAATTATTTTGGGAGTCCTTTTCAATACTGAACATCTCTGCAAATTCCTGGATGGCCACTCCTCTGGGGAGGGTTCGCTCTGCTTGGGCTGAGTTAGGACCAGGCCGAGGTCTGCCCGGGGGCTGTGGCATGGGTGGGATGCCCTCTGGAGTGCCGTACCTGCTTTTTCAGATTATCAATCTCGGAGCGCAGCCTCTGCATCATTCGGTTCAGCTCGGAGATCTCCATCTTGGTGGAGCGGAGGTCGTCCCCGTGCTGACCAGCAGACCGCTGCAGCTCCTCATACTGGGGTGCGGCAGGGGGAGAAGCAGGACACAAAGATGGTAAGTCCAGAGGAGAGAAGGCAGTGGCTGCCCAGGGCCCAACAGGCTTTCAGTGTTTTGCCTGCGGACGCCTCCCTCTGCTTCCGCCAATTCTCCATCAAATCCATCTCCATTGTCCCTGGGCTCTGCCACTCACTCTTGCTGTCCACCAGCTCCACCCCACAACTGGACCCTTTTTCTTGGATCCAGTCTTTTGTCCTTCTCCCTTGACACCGTGTATCTCATCATCACAAATTCAGCCTCATGTGGGGATGCCTGTCACTCTCTGATTTTAAAGCTCTTTTATCATTGTTTTCCTTGGCACCACACCTCATATCCCCAGTGACTCCTCAGCTCAGAATGTTTGCTCTAACCTGGAAAATCTCATTGCGTGACCCATATCCAGCCTTTGACACCTCAAGCCCTCAGCCCCAGACAGCTCCACCTCTCTCCTTTAGATCCAGGAGGCCCAACCTACTTCCTGTTCCTACCCTGCCTCTCTCATTACTGCTGACACTGGTGGCACATACTGTCCAGCTGTCCTTCACCTCTCTTCTACACAGCATTGGACGGGTGTTCACCCTCCCTATGGCAGAAGGACTGACCACCTTCCACCTTCACCTGGCTATTCCTCCAGGTCCTAATGATGCAGCCCAAGGATTACTTGGAACAAAGGGCAAGTCCAAAGCTGAACTCAGATCCCTTTGACCTCATCAGAGTTGGACATCTGAGAGGATAAAACTCTTACATAATTGGCCAGTTCTCTATAATTGTTTCATAAACTTGACTTTGACACCTCACCTTGGTCTGGTACCAGGACTCGGCCTCAGCCCGGCTGCGGTTGGCAATATCCTCATATTGGGCCTTGACCTCTGCGATGATGCTGTCTAGGTCCAGGTTACGGTTGTTGTCCATGGACAGGATCACGGAGGTCTCAGAGATCTGGGCCTGAAGCTGAGCCAGCTCCTGTGATGGTGTCCAAATGGGAGGGCTGAGCAGGGTGTGCACGTGTGCATATGTGCATGTGTGTATGTGTGTGTGCATGTGTGTGCATATGTGTGTACATGTGCGTATGTATTGGGACACTGTGACCAGACCTCCGGAACAGATCCTGGCATCAAAGGCTTCATTTGTATTGTAGAGATGCAGCACCCTGCTTAGGTCTAAAAGGGCTGGGAAGGACACTAGGAAGGTCGCTAGGTTAACTCCCATTTTTTATCACCAACTCATCTGCGTGGAGGGAGGAGCAGCACAGATAACTGTAGCCAGGATTCTCTCGAAGTTACTTCCACTGTCAAGGAAACACTCCTTGTTGCAACCTGTCAGTGTCATAATGTCTCATGTTCTGTGAAAACACATCCTTTCACACCAAATAAAGAAATCATCTCATGAAAGAAAACTGAGTCAGAAAAAGCCAGAAAGCTATGCTGCTTCCCAGTCCTATCTCCCAACTTTGCTCCTCCCAGCTCCTCAGGGATGAAAAATGGAAATCGGCTTCTAATAGCAGAAAGGGCACCGGACTGAAAAATCAAGTTCTGGATCTGCCAAACAGGTTAGATAGTATCTCTGTGTCTCAGAGGGGCTAGTCCTACACAGTACTGCTTCCTCTGATTTCTGGGAAGATTAAATAAATCCATGTCTATATAAGCTGGTGTTTGAAACACAATTAATTTGTTCAGTTATCACTCCTCAATCATCTAAAGCAACATTCCCAAATTATGACCCACACCAGCAGCATCAGCATCACCCGGGAACTTGGTTGAAATGCAACATTTTGGGCTCAACACTAGACTCATTAAATCAGAACTGGTGTTTTAACAGGACATCTAGAAGACTCTAATGTGTTATAAAATTTGAGAATCACTGGTCCATATCGCAAATCTAAGTGAAAATATCCCTTTTTCCTTTATTAACAATTGGTTCATGTATTTCTTGCTTCGAGAAATGATTATTTTGTTGTCGTGTGCTGCAATTTGTTTTCCCAAATAGTTTTCTCCTAGTAGCTGACCTAGCTTGAGGGTCTCAGCCCACGGGCTTGCTGTACTGTGGGCTCATTCAAAATTAGGAGCCAACACCACACCAGCTGTCGGCAATAAAGTGAATAAGCAGAGAAAATGATGTCTTTTTGCCCCGCGTGCGCTGTGGTCATTGCTCCTGCTCCTGGAACAACATCACCAACTTCTATTGGGCACCAAACATATGTGACCTACTGGGCATATTACCCGTCCTTACCAGGCCTACCAGGGACACAATGCCCCTTCACCCCCTCCTCGATATCACTGATCCCAGCCGAGGCCCCCAGCTTTCAACGTTCTGAAGGAGAGAGCACTGGGCACTGCTTACCGCATCGTAGAAAGCTCTCAGAAAGTTAATCTCGTCCATTATGGCATCCACCTTGGCCTCCAGCTCCACCTTGTTCATGTAGGCGGCATCCACATCCTGGGCACAGAACATACTGTCACTCTGAGTCCCACCCAGTCTGGGGGAACCAGCCCTCTGACTACGGGTTAGGCGGGGGAACTTCAGCTCCCGGGGATGAGAGCATTTCTCTGTGTCACGTGGTGAAGACAACCCCATCTTGGGCCCTTGGGCTCTCCCAGCCTCTCCCCGAGGCTCTCCCTGACTTTCCCTCCTCGTATTCTCTGCCCCTTCCTCCCCCTCACACACCACTGCTCCATCTCTCATCTCCAGCTTAGCTTGGGGCTGATTCTCCTCTCTCTCTGCCTGTACACCTCTAAGCGGGAAGGTCCACAGCTCCCCAGAGCTGATCTCTGTCTTACTCCTGTCCACCAAGCCTGACTTGATGTCCTGGAGACTCAACTCAGCACAAGGCCCGTTTTGCTTTGCCTCTCCCTTTACTGGACTCTCCTCATGGGGATGGGGCTGGTGTCAGGTTTTACAGCTCAGACTTTAGAGCCCTGGAACCTGACTCACTTCTGATTATCTGGGTAACCCTGGGGCAACTTGCTTAACCAAGCTGAGCTTGAGTTTTCTCACTTCTAAAGTAAAGCCTGCTTCCAAGATTGGCTGTGCAAATTAAATAAAGCTTTGTATACAAGGCCACATGCTTAAGTGGCAACTGCCTCTCCTGGAGGGACTACCTGGGAGTCAGAAGGGATATTCCCTGACCCCTCACCTTCTTCAGCACCACGAACTCATTCTCTGCCACTGTGCGCCTGTTGATTTCTTCTTCATACCTGTGGGAAAGATCAGAAGTGGATAGGTGTTAGGAGCGGGGCTTCTGGGAGTGAGGTCCAACCGTGAGGGATGCAGGTAGGCAGGCGATGGCTGGTCTCAAAGAGCAGACCTGAAAAATGTGCTGCTATAGCAGAGCTCTCCTACTATACACGCACCCCCCAAATCCCAAATCAACCGAACAACCCCTCCTGTCTAAACAAAACTCAAATCCGGAACAACAAAACAGAACCACCCCTCATTCTTTCCAATATTGCTTTTCTCAGAGCTTTGCTTCTTGGAGTGCTCAGGTCCCATAAAGGGGCATGCATGCTTCCTTTTTGGCTCCACGGTCTCACTCCAACCAAACAGAGGCCATGAAGGGAGGAACAGGGAAAATAGTAAGAGGCATGCCATTTCAGGCCTTGGCCAGCTCTTCCACCGCATGGTGCCTTCATGCCTGATTATTAATCTCAGCCACATTGAACCCCACCTGGGAAGCAAAGTCTTTAGGCTAATAGGAGCAACTCCCACCCCCACTCAGTTTTCTCATTCTTCAATCTGCCCCCATGCGGCAGCCCCACTCCCCTCTGCTCACTGATCTCTGGGAAGGAAGTTGGTTTCTGCTCGAGGTGACCCAACCTTCCTAAGCATGGATGAATCCCACCCTCACGACAGCTCTGGACAGCTGTGGTTTGCGCTTTGTCTTTTCCACTTTCCAGCTGAGCAACCTGAGGCAGTTCACTTAACCTCTCAGAGACTTTTTCCACTTATGAAATGGCATGTTGTTAAAACCACAAAGCACTTCATGTATATAACCAGAATCAACCCTGCTCCTTTATTGCCTCTTGTCCAGCAGAATCTGAGACAAGCTCTTTCGTGTCAATTGATGTGGTTTTCCTTATTGTTTCCTCATGATGCCTTTTCATTGAATATAAACATGTGTTCTTCACCTAATTCCATGCAACCCTCCTTGTCTTCTGTGTTTCCCAGCTCACAGTCACTCTGCCAGAGAGCAAGCACCATGTAGCCCTTCTCCTAGACACCTGCCACAGGAACATCCCCATCTATTAACTAGGAGGACACCATTCAACACATTCCCCCCCAATATCCCTCCTCTGTGCCTTTTTCCTCAATCTTGAGCTTTTATTTCCTCCTCCAGAAAGCCTTCTTGGATTGAAATACTGTTGCTCCATGTCTGCACACATATTATAAATTGTCCACCTGCACTTGTTTCTCTTATCTGTGTCTGCATCACTACACACATATACCTAAACTTCAATACAATAAAAACTGAAAACACTTATTAACAACTTACTATACACACTGGGCACCCTACCAAGTATTTTACATGTAAGTTTTGATTTAATATTTTCAACCCCCCCCCCCAATAAAGTGGGTACTATTAATATCCCCTTTAACAGACAAAGGAACTGGGATTTACATAGATTAGTTTCCTTTAGGTCATTCAGCTGGTAAGTGGTTGAGCCAAGATTTTAAAGCCACTGACTAGACTCTATACTACTGTCTGATAGAACTTTCTGTGATGATAGAAATGCTCTATAACTGTGTCTGTTATGGAACCCATTACCACAAGTGGCAATTCAGCACTTTAAATGTGGCTGGTGTGATTGAGAAGCTGAATTTTATATTTTATTTAATTTTAATTAGTTTAAGTTTAAATAGCCACATGTGGCTACTAGCTACCATGTTAGCATAACTCTAAAGCCTTAACTCTTACTGGGTTACATAAACAGTGACTAGAACTCCTTATCGAGTCACTCATTTTGTTTGGACCAATACAATTAGAAATAAATTAGAAGAATGAAAATAAGAAATTACTCATGTCTATAGACATGAGCATACTATCGCATTTAGTGGTGTGTGTGTGTGTGTGTGTGTGTGTGTGCGTGTGCGTGCACGCACGCACGTGTGTGTGGTTTCCAGGGAGAAAGCAGCATACATGGCTCTTTTTCCTCTGTTCCCCGGCCCCCTGGCCAGGGTTAGGGTGACTGCATGAATATTGCATAAGTTAGCCATGGGATTGAGTTGAACAAATGTGAGAGTGAGATTCTATGAGTTTAATTCTTAACTCACGAGTTGCCCTTGGATGAGTCATTTGCTCTCTCAGAGCCTTACTTTCTTTATCTGCCAAGTTTATCAGGTTGTTTGCTGTGTGTATCATGCTCTCTGTGCCCATGTAAGTTGTCATCATCTAGAACCCTGGTCCTTCCCAAAGCTCCAACATTCTTGACTGCAGAATTTCAGTTCATCCTCTGAGTCTACCTTGGTGCCTTAAGTATGCATCCCATTTCCCCACTGGGCTGGGCACTTCTAGAGAGCAGAGCCTCCCCAGGAGCCTCAGGGCAAGGTCTTCGCAGAAGCTGGCTAAAAATCCACTCACTTGTTCTTGAAGTCCTCCACCACATCCTGCATGTTCTTCAGTTCCATCTCCAGCCTTGCCCGCTCCCCACCCAGGCTGTCCAGCTGTCGCCTCAGGTTGTTGATGTAGGCTTCAAACATAGGCTCGATGTTGGCTCTGGTGGTTTTATGCTCCTGCAGGAGGCTCCATTTGGTCTCCAGGACTTTGTTCTGCTGCTCCAGGAACCGCACCTGCCCCAGCCAGAGGTGAGAGACTGTGAGGGCTTCCTTGCAGCAGCCCCCTGGAAGGCTCTGGGATCCAGGATCCCCCAACAGTGGAGTGAGGGATCCTGCAAGACCTCAGAGTCCAGATGGTAGACTCCTCCTCCTGGTCCTCAGCCTGGAAGGAGCCAGAAATGTAGAGAGCCAAGCAAATGTAGGTGCAATGGGCCTGAGAGACAGGCAGTGGCTTGGTTCGGAGCTGGGAGAAACAAGGATGGCCAAAGGGGCTAGAGAGCATCTGAATAACCAAACCATGTTGACGTGTGGTAGGAAACATTCCACCATCATGTTACTGGGTAAAGTTTTGATTCCCATTAAATGGGCAGGAGTTTCTTGGCAGAAAATTCAATCTGTCTATTTTCTTTTCCACATGATTTCTTGAGATCTAGAATCTGGATTCAGTTGCCTACATGCTCCAGGAGTGCTGGAATGGGTCACTCTGGAGTTCATGGAGGGGGCCTGGGCACAATCCCAGCCATGGCTTCACTAGCTGTGTGGCCTTGGCTAACCCATTGTTCCCTCTGCTCTCTCAGGTCTTCTCTGGTCTCATACTACTAATTTTTTTTTTTCTTGACTTGCACTCATCTGCCCTTCAGCCTGGGAAAATATGCAAAACCTTTCTCCCTAAGCAAAGTTCTTCCATTGGGAGTAGCTGGAATGACACAACCCCAAGAAGGAAAAAACAGAGCCTCTAGGACTTCGGAGATGGCAATGTGCCTTCAGAGGATCTTTGACAAGTGCGCCCTTGTCAGAGGAAGAAGGGCAGTTCTAGCTCCAAGTTCCTCCCTAGTCACATCTCCTCATTCCTCATGTCCCCTCCAGATAAACCTAGGACAAGCAGGGCCCACATTCTTCCCCCTCAGACCAGGCTCCTGAAAATCTCACAGCTGTTGATACAAACACCAGGCCACATGGGGTGACACGGGTGATAAAGCTGAAGAACCACTGCCTCAGTGGTTATGTTTTACACATTCAAAGATCTGGGTCCATCTGATGAGGCATTTTATAGCCTGTTAGACCTGCAAAAGTACTTTAGAGTTCATCCATCCAGCACAACTAAAGCCTGAGAAATTAGGGATTCTCCTAGCTGTAGAGCCAAAAATAGGACCTGCCTCTTAGTTTAATACTCTTTCTTCCAGATCTCAAGTATGGAGCCTGAATGATCCAGATCCTTGAAATGGTTCTTCCCAGGTGAAAACAATCACCTTCGGTATGGACAAGCAGTGATGCAAAACAGAATCCAAAATAGAATCCTTTCTTTCTCTAAACTGGGGAAATCCCTAGGATTCCAGGCCACACAGCCGGGGGCACTCAGGGCTGAACTCACAACTTCCCTGTCACCAAAAGAAAAGTGTGAAACTCTCTGAGGGCACCCCAGCTAACCACCCAGCTTCTCAGACACACTCAAATCACTAGGCAGGTTGCCACAGGACGACTTTCATAAATTGGGCAAGAAAACATGTCCACTGCCTATTTCTGTGAACTGAACTTGTAACCTTTCTTTTCTTTATCCCTTTCCCTCCAAACACATCCCCTTTCACTGTCTAATTTCTAGCCCAGTAAACAGATCACTATCCATCAAAAGAGTAATGTCCTTGCAGTGAGTCAGACAGCCCTGGGGTCTGGAAGTGGACATATTTCTGCTTTCGCCTCAACAAAGTGGGAAACCACCTCCTCCTCCACCCCATTAGCAGTCTTTCCAGTCCCCAGCATCGCAGGCCCTGGGCTAGTCACAGCTGACCTCAGAAAAGCATAGAAAGCAGAGATCCCCCAGTGATTCTGGCAGGGACCCTATTTGCCTCTCACCTTGTCAATGAAGGAAGCAAACTTGTTGTTGAGAGACTTGATCTGCTCCTTCTCCTCCTTCCGCACCCGTTGGAGGGAGGGGTCGATCTCCAGGTGGAGAGGAGTTAGGAGGCTTTGGTTGACAGTGACCTCCTGGATGCCTCCAGCTCCAGGCATCATCCCGCCTCCAAATCCCCCGACCCTGTACCCTATGCCTCCAAGACCCATCCCGTAGCCAGCACCCCCAAAGCTGCCCCTGCTTGAGCGGTAGCCCCCGCTGACAGAGATTCTCTTGCTGCCTCCAAGGCCGTGGAGGCTCCTGGTCCCAAAGCCACCCCCAAAGCCACCCCCAAAGCTTTTCCCGCCATGGGTCACGGAGACAGAGCTGAAGCTGGGCCGGCAGCCTGGAAGGAGGTTTGCTGAGGAAGCACTGAAATTTCGAGTGCCCCCCGACTTGATGGTGATAGATCGTTGGGTCATGGCGGGAGCTGGTGCCAGAGGGTCAAAGGAGCAAAGATGTCAAAGGGATGAGGAGCCTTCAGAGTCCAGCTTTCCCAAAGTCTCCTTGACTTTTATCCCTTTCAAAAAATGGGCTTGGCCTGAGAAGATCAAAGACCACTGTGTTGAGTTCATCTCAATGGCATGTCTGGCCACAGCCCATCTTTCTGCCCTGCTAATCATCACAGGGAACACCCTACCCAGGGCAGGACCAGGCCTGGGCATTCAGGCCTGGGGCAGAATCGGGTCCCAAGACCCCTGCCTCCCAACCTACAGATTATCTGCCACACTCCGCAGACACTCCCACAGCTTCTCATCTGCTCCTCTCTTCTCGCTTCTCAGATCTTGGACTCTGAACCCAAGCGCTTGATAATGCCCTTCCCATCATGGCCACTTATGAAGACGAGAAACCCCATTTATCGAGGATTCGATCTGTGCCAGACCATGTGGCAAGTCAGTTGCAAGCACTGTGTCGTTTGATTCTCATGATGACTTTTTGAAGGTAGATGACAATAATAATCGCTAACATTTACTGAGCAGCTACTATGGGTAACTGCTTTACACCTGTCTTCTCATTTAATCTTTACACAGCATCATGGGGGTAGGTGGCTATTATCAGTTTTGTTTTACACATGAAGCAATTGGAGCATAGAGTCGTCAAGAAACTTGGTGGGTCACACGGCTAGTGAGTGCTGGGTCAATGTTAGGGCCCAGCAGTCTGACTGCACCTCACATCGGTAAGGTGGCTTGTCCAAGGCCAAGTGAGACTCATGATTTAACTCCAAATTCCTGTCCTCTCTTCTTTTCTTGTCCTTGGGTCTTAATGTGCCCGTACCCCCTCGCCCCCAGGGATGAGGGACATTTAACAATTGTTCTCAGTGTCATTACTCTCCTTCTTGCTATTCTCTCCCTCCCAACCCTTCCAAACTTTTCTGGGTGACACCCACCAGGGCTCAGACCTGATGGGAGGGGTCCAGGAGACTCAGGAATGTGGGTGGTTCCGGATGTCTCATTGCTGCAATTATGGACCTAAATGGCTCCTCTGCGAGGTAAAAGCACTGCCCCAAGGACTGACTTTTAATTCCTCCCCTGCCCTGTTATTTTTCTGCTCAGGTCTGCAAGTTTGAAGCTGTCGTGGAACAATGGCCCCTTTGTTGGCAGAGGGCTGGGCTGCCCACCCTACGTCAGTGGCCTCGGAGGAATACAGTCTGTCTTTGGGAGGGGATGGCATCACCCCGCATGACATACGTAGTGGAAAGCCTGGGCAGAATTTCTGCCCAGGGGCTTGGGCTTCTCAAAGAAGGCATCCCAACGAGAGGTAGGAGGAAGTGGGCAGAAGCTTGGGTGAGGAGTCTGACCAGCAGTCTGCCCTTACATCTCTCCTGTCTCTCCCTGATTTAGCCTTCTTAGCTCTGGGAGGAAGAGAGGAGGTCTGATATACTCTGAGTACTCCTTGTGTGGGGCCCTGTGCTGGGAGGAGGCCTGGAAGAGGAGGAGAATTGCTCTGTGCTCTATCACAATTCCAAATAGAGGGCTGGATACCAAACACATTACACATACGTTTAATGGACACATTCCAGGGAGGGGAGAGAGGGAGCCCTCACTCCCAGCAGGCAGCTTATAAGTACCGTGAGACATGGGGGCTGACAACCTGGCACTGAGATGGCCTGGGAGACAAAAATTCCCCATTTCTGCAGCTGGAGGGAGGGAGGAGGAAGGCGGAGCTGTAGGGAGAGTCTCTGCAAGACAAGCTGAATGTGAATCTTAAAAGTCTCTGTGCTGTGGCATGGAGAGGGCACCAGGAGCAGTTCGGAGACTGTCAGGAGGGCAGAGCCAGGCTTGAGTTGGGGATTGGGGTTCAGCTAGGATGCCAGGCTTCATAGCACCACAGGTGGGCCTTGTGGAATGTAGAAGAAGGAGAAAGATCCAGGCGTTCAGGGGCGAGTGCAGATCGGCCAGGTCGGTGGGCAGAGCTGGTTTCAGGGAGCCGGGTGGCGTACTTAGTGCTTATAGC